TATTAAATATTATATTCCAATGAATATTTATAAATTTAGATATTCTCTAGCCACAAAATATGTAAATACATATAACCACACTTGTGAAGGTTTAGTTTTCTGTGATTTATTGGAGGTTTATTTGCTCATTTGGTTTTCCAATTCATAATGTTTATTGGGCAAACTCTATCCTCTGAATGTTTCATTTATTCACTTACAGATTTCACATGGTGTGAATAATATATATATATATATATATATTTATTACCTTTTGCTGCTCTGTGTAAGAAAATGAGCTTATGCATGCCTTTATCTGTTGCTTTATTATACAAAGTAATCTGAAACAAAATATCTTTGGATCATCCACTTTAACTTGTGTTTTTATATACCCATTTTCCACAAGTATGTGCAATGAGTATTATCTAAAATTTATGTTTCAATTTCAGTATAAATTACTGCTTAATTTTAACTTCACATGTTGAAACTTCTTCTTTTCAACTGCTAAGGTAACTTACTGCATCGAGACCCTGAACAAACATCATTTTATTTTTTTAAAAAAAGATTTATTTATTTGAGATGGAGAGAAAGAGTAAGAGAGAAAAGAGGAAGAGGCAGAGAGAGTCTTAAGTAGACTCCATGCTAAGCACAGAGCCTGACACGAGGCTCAATCTCAGGATCCTGAAATCACAACCTGAGCTGAAAACCAAGATTTGGATGCTTAACTGACTGTGCCACCCAGATACCCCTGAACAAACATCACTTTAAAAAGGAGACATGATAAATGTTGTAAATTTGACATATATTTTTTCTCCAACTTGAATTCAAGTTTGCCTGGAATGTTCTGAAGTTTATTTGCTTTAAAAATGATTCATCTTTGGAGCATCTGGGTGGCTCAAAGGGTTAAAGCCTCTGCCTTTGGCTCGGGTCATGGTCCCAGGGTCCTGGGATTGAGCCCCGTGTTGGCCTCTCTGCTCAGCAGGGAGCCTGCTTCCTCCTCTCTCTCTGCATGCCTCTCTGCCTACTTGTGATCTCTGTCTGTCAAATAAATAAATAAATAAATCTTTAAAAAAAGATTCCTTTTTTCTATATGACAGCCTCCTAAAATTCCATGGCGTGCCATTTCAAATTTTTCAGATTACAATGACTAAATCTTTGTAAGCAGACCTACTGTTGCTGAGACACAAAGATACAAAATATTACAAATGTATGGTAACTATCCAAACACAGGAAAATACGGGAAACATCTATAACAAAAATAAATTATATCTATTTATGTATATATCTATATCTATCTATCTATCTATCTATCTATCTAGTGTGCTGGTAGCTCAGTTGGTTAAGTGACTGACTCTTGATTTCAGCTCAGGTCATGATCTCAGGGTCATGAGGTCAAGGTCCTCCACTGGGCGTAGAGCCTGCTTAAGATTCTCTTTCTCCTCTCCTACAGCTTCCCCTCCCCTCTAAATATAAATAAATAAAAACCTGTCTTTATCATAAAACAAAAGTTATAAAATACCATGTAATCAAGTTAATAAAAGTAATTAAAATTTTTAAATGAAATTTATAATACAATTAAAAATCCTGGACAATTACAAGACAATGCTTTAAATTATATACCAAAAACATGTCTTTGGTTTATTACAGATCTGCATTTCTAGAAGACCAGCCAAAGATTCAGGGGAATTTGGTGCAAATGCAAACATTATTTTTACAACCACACATCAACATTTGCTTTATAAAATCTCTGCTCTTCTGGGGAGAGACAAGAGAAAGAGCCCTGAACTTGGAAGAATGGGAATCTAGTGTGATTATAAATTTTACCTGAACAACCTAATTTCACTCTCAAAACTACCATGATATTCTATGTTTCTGTTGTAAAGAGGACTTGAACTTACTATCCTACTTTGCGGCCAAAAAAAAAAAAAAGGTACTGTTGGAATGTCGGTTATACGTGTTTTTTTTTTCCCCACACTATAAACCTAAAAACTGAATGATCTTTATTCAAATACTTTTTGTGCAGTTGAACCATTATTTTCATTTTGAATTTCAATAGTATTTAGTATAATTAACTCCTCTCTAACATGCTTATTAAGTTTCATTAAATCATTTCTGCTGAGCACATTACTTTATTATTTTGTTATCAAAGTTCAGGAATTTATTGTGATTCTTGTTAAGTTTTGTGATATCCAGTCATAATTTCTTACTGTTCATAAAAGGTCCATAAACAGATTAAAGGGATCTTCTTTGGTATAGCTTCCTATGCTTTTGTATTTCAAAATTTCACTGGCCTTCATATAGAATGACAAGACTGTTCTAAGCCTGGTTCACTACTATTTTCAGGCAAACCATTCATTTCATTTCATGGACAACCTTCCTTTATTGATAAACTGAATACTACCTTTTACAGTTATTTGGTGCTAAAAATATGAACTAGCTCTGTGGTCTGGAGAAAATCACTCACATATCTCTAACTCAATTTCTTCAACTACAAAATTAAAAATAATGAATAATTTATAACTCATAGAGTCAAACACTACAATGTTAGTCATATGGTAAATGCACTGTGTTCTCAGTACACAATATTCCTACATATCTATGGTATTCAGTAGTTTTATTCTACTAATATTCCATCTAAAAGGCTAAACTTAACATATTATGTGTTATATTCTAAAATTTTAGAAGCCTATTAATCTCTTTAATTCCCATATGTTGACCTAAATACTGCTTCAGTTCAGATAGCAAGCGTATTGTTAGTGTAGATATCAGCACAGTACTGTGCTTTACTTCCATATATAATTGCTTTTGATTATTCTTTATGCAAGCAGGACAGTTACTCCTACCATAGTGATATGTATGACAGAACAGAAAAGGTACTTCTAGGGGTATCAGTAATTGAAATTCTAATCCCCAACTTGCTTTGTAATTTTGGTTAAGCTATTTAATTCTTTTTTCATTACCATTTCCTCATCTATAAAGCAGGCCCAATACATCTTTATTCTGTAAGGATTTCTGTGAAGATAAAACCAAGTTATGTTCACAAAATTTCCTTGAAAAATAGAAAACAGTATTAATGGATAACCAGTATTAGAAAGTAAATATAAGCTCTTTGTTATATTTTTAAAAAACAGGAAAATTATCTCAGTAAATAGTGATCTTTGATATCCTGGAATTTCAAAGCACTTTACTAACATTTTACTTATGAAATAAACTCCAAGCCAGATTCATGCTTATGATGGTGATCTATCCTTTTTTTTCCTCAAATAAAATTCTTCTTCTTTTTTTTTTAATGAATACTTAGGAAATGAGCCATTTTAAACTTATGTTTTCCTTTTTTTTTTTAAGATTTTATTTATTTATTTGACAGAGATCACAAGTAGGCAGAGAGGCAGGCAGAGAGAGAGGGAAGCAGGCTCCCTGCTGAGCAGAGAGCCCCATGCGGGGCTTGAACTCAGGACCCTGGGATCATGACCTGAGCTGAAGGCAGAGGCTTAACCCACTGAGCCACCCAGGTGCCCCCAAATAAAATTCTTCTTAAAAGAGGTGCTATCATTCATGAATTTGTCATCTTGTATTAATGAAGTATGCCAGTTTCTTGCAGGAATGCCTTGATATATAAAAAGTTACTAAGACTTCTAAGGCTATGCAAGGACATCTTGACTCACAGTGTTTCTCACTGAAGAAAATGACCTAAGATATTTGTATACAATTGTTCGTTCTCTTGGAGGTCAAAAACAAAGATAAAATAAATACATCACTCTAACAGCACAAAAAACTAACAGAAATAAATCTAATTTCAGAGAGGTATCAGTCTCTGGGAAGCACTCTTTAAATACCCTACTTGGGGCTACTTAGTTTCATTTGCTTTACTTTAATCACCATAGTACACATTATAATATCCTCTTGTTTGTTTACTTTTTATGCTACCTTACTCTATTATACTAAAGGACAGCAGAGCTGATATATTTTTAGAGAATTTTGTATACTCTCAATGGTTGGCAAAATCCTTTTAGAAGTTTGACAATAACATGCCTTTCTCTATTGATTTCTTCTCTTCCATTTGGCAAATATTGATTTTTGTGTGTGTGTGCATTTACAAGACTCCATTTTGTTTAATTCCTTCTCCATGAATCAGCATTGCTGACAACAGGAGCTGAAATGTCTGAAACTTAAAGAAATGCCTTTGATTGAATAGTTGTCCTAGAACTAGAGATGGGAATGCAATCAAATAAAATGGGACTTCTCAAAGGGTTCCATGAGATTTATTAAGGTCCTCTTTGTTTTAAAGACTAGAAATTGAAAATAATCTATTGAGACTAATATGTGATCTTAAAAAAATGCTTATATTAGCAATATACACCAAGTCAATTTCCTAGAGTTTTCAATTTTTGCCTGAAAAACCTCCCTTACCTTTTTACCAGGAAACTGTTTAAAAAAAAAAAAAAAAAGTCAGTGCTGATCTAGGAAGCAATGTTTCGTAGTATATAACGCAACCCCCTCCCTAAGCACTGTGATAAGGTCAAGGGTGACCTTCTAGTGCAAGGAGAATCATCCATAGGCAGCCCTAATTACAAAGCATAAAAGTAATATGGAAGAACTAGAGAAGTCATTAACACCATGTTTAAGAAGAATTAAGACAACAGAGATAAGTAAACAAAAAAAGTGAGTTGATCATAGAAAAGATGAGAGTAAGGCACCTGAAGTGGAATTTCATCATGTTAATGAAGAACAGTAGCATCAAGATGTATTTTTTCAGGTACTGAAATTCATAGAGCAACTTTGAATACAGAACTTCCTAAAATGGTCAACTCTGACTTTAGGTAGTCCCAGGTTCTTCCTCTCAAGGAATTCACTGACTAGTGAAAGAGATATCATCATGAACATTTCATAGAAATATGCATAAACCCAATGGCTACAGAGAAAGAGGAATAATCAACTCTATACCAGGAAATCTGGAAAGCCATTGGCAGGATTAATCAAAATTAGTTTCAGAGGCAAAATGAGATCAAATGCACTGGGAGCAGGAAACTTGGTAGATGACAATTTAATAACAAGTTTTCCAAACTTAAACATTGGCATTCAGCAAAATGCCATCTACTGATTTATTTTCTCTGTTATAGCACAGGTCAGAAACCAGGCCAAAGGCAAAAAGATGGACAGGATATGTGTGCTGAAGGTCAGAGAAAAGCTTAATTAAAACCTTAAGAAAGAAACAGACTTAATTAATGAGGTGAATATGATTTACTGAAAAATGCATAACCACCAGTTTAAAATGGTAACATATAATTTAGTTTCAAGCAATTTCAACATGAAGCTAAAATTTGTTGATAATTTGGAATTGCCCTCTCACTTGGCTTCAATGATGTTTTCTCCTAAACATCCTGAACTCAACATTTTTTTCAAAATGGGTTTGTTTAGTAAAAAATAAGATTGGGGTGCCTGTGTGGCTATCAGTTGGGCACCCCACTCTTGTTTTTGGCTCAAGTCATGATCTTAGGGTGGTGAGATCGAACTCTGCATCTGATTCACTCCCTCTCCCTTTGCCCCTCCCCCCATGCATGTTCTCTCTCTTTTGGAAAAAAAAAAGATTAAAAGTGTTTTATTAATTATTAATGTTATTAGTTTTAATACTTGAACAAGTTTTGCTCTGAAATCAGTTGTTTTCATAAATTACTTGCAAGTGGAACTAGATACTAATGGATACATCTATTTAGCTGATAGCATATTGACCTCCATATTCTTTGATCTACTCTTTTTTTGGTCTAAACTCTTTTTCGGTCTACTCCAAGATATACCTCTACTTTCCCTCTGCTTATTAATTCTGGGAATGAACTCCTTCCTATACTATTTTTAAAATGCATTTTGGAGATATTTTTAAATGTTAAGGTAATGAGTTAACATATTTCAATAATATATAATACATTGTATAATATTATTATATTTCTTGCTATTATAAAAAATGGTGTAACGAACATCAATAGATTTTTTCCTTCCTCCCTTTCTTCCTTCTGTCTTTTCCTCTTTCTTTCATTTTTTCCTTCTTTCCTTTCCTTCCTTTCTTCTTTCTTTCAGAAATTAAAAATGAAAAAGATTCAGAGAAAAAATTGAAAGACATTAAGCTATACCACTATCTGATTACAATTAATAGTCTTTTTTTAAAGTCTTTACTTCACTAGTCTCCACTTTTTCCTTATTCTGTTTGATTCTTTTCAATAGAATCAGATTGCAGAAAAAAGCCATCATCATATTGTTGGGTCCCCAATGTTGGGTCCATGGTCAAAGGAGCGAGACTGATACAAAGCGAAGGTCAAGCAAAGCTTTATTTCTCGCCAAGCATCAAGAATCAAACCGACAGTCAAACAGACCGGTCAGGGCCGCCCCTTACAGAGAGGGCGACCCCCCCCCCCACCCCCTGGCTTCACAGACTAACTTTTATAGAGCAAAGACCATGTGGTTGAGACTGGCCACACACCGGTGGCCAATGAGATTGCAACACACAGAGAAAGTTGCACAGTCATGCTAGGTCACACATGGGTGGCCAATTGAACTACAATTTACCCTATAGTAGACATTTGAACTAGCCTATCACCTTGGTCAGAATTGGCACCCAAAAGCCGGGGCTCACACTCCTTGCCAGCTAGGGAGACATTATGCACGCTCTACTGATTGGATGTCTCCACCTGACCCAACTCATCCAGATAACAGCATTCAGGCTGTTATCTCCATCTGACCTGACCCACCCTTGTATTTGGGCTTTGTTACCTTGGACTGGTTTCCCGGACTTGCTTTTAAGTAAATTGGGGGGGGGGGGCGGCAGGGTCAGTTTAAGTTTTACTGCATAAACAACAAAATGGCTGTTCAACCGAGGTGGGGCTGCTCTGGCTAAATAGGCCCTTACGATATCATTTACCCACTTAATTAATAATAGTAGTAACAAATTATTAGAATTTTCAATTATTAATCAAATATTTTGTTCTGGGTTGCATAACATTAATATTATATTCATTTGTTTTCTAGTATTGAAAGCACTCCAAGAAGGGTGCCATTCCTACTCCTATTTTACATAGGAAATAACTGAGCACCAGAGGTTACGGCATCAGTATGTACCTTAGTCTATAACTACTTATCTACATTTAGTTATTTTACTTTCTTTAATAGATTCTAAGATACACTTATCTCAATACAAGCTCAATTCCTAATAATAATTATATTTTTAAAGTGATTTATCAAATAATCCTCATCAATCTTATGATAAGGTAAAAAGTATTCTCCTTAATTTACAGAGAGCAAATGGAGTCAGTGGAAGTTAAATAATTCATCCAAAGTTACAAAGCCTGTGAATGGCAAAAATGGATTTGATCCTAGGCAGTGTGGCTTGATACTGTAAACTATTGTGCTCCAGGGTCTCTCTATAAAAGAGGTTTAAAATTTAGGCATAAGGCCTTGTTTTGCTCACTCTTTCTTTCCCCTTCTTATAATTCTGAAAATATTTTCTTAAACAATCTTCTAAGAAGAATCTTTCTACTCCATCTAAATTTAATTTATTTCCTTATGACTTCAACTCATAATTGTAATGATAAACCCAGCTGTGGTTAAAGTCACAGATGGTTCAAACAGGTGACAATGAGCTCAGATGAGAAGGAAGAAAGAGGAGCTGATTGTTTTCTAAGGAACAACAGTTCTGTTTTTTCATGCAAACTCAATGACTGAAAACTTCAAAAAGGTAAAAAGTAATTCAAATAAACAGCTGGATGAGCAGAATCAGTTTCAATCAAGTGGTCAACACAATTAAAATCTTAAAAAGTAAATAACAATTTTTTTTTTTTTTAAGTTACAAGGGACTTAAAAAAAAGGGTAATGGAGGACACCTGGCTCAGTCAGTTGATTAAATGTCTGCCTTCCGCTCAGGTCATGATCCCAGGGTCCTGGAATCAAGTTCCACATTGGGCTTCCCTCAGCAGGGACTCTGCTTCTTCTTTTGCCTCTCTCTCTTTCTCTCTCACAAAAATAAATAAAACCTTTAAAAAAGACTAGTGGAGTCCTTATTACAAAATAACAGCTTGATTTTGGAGGACATTTGATAATTCATCTGCCAAATAACTCAGTGAGAAAATGCTCTAGAAAGATGGCAACCCAAATGTGTCTTGGGTCTTCTATTGTTTTTAATCTGACTTCCTTTTTTGAATGGAGCATTAGTGGGCAGGTCAGAAGACAAAATCTAAGTCTGTGAGTTTTCACAGTATATTCCAGTATATATTATATATATAACTTCCATACTGGAAAACAGTATGGAGGTTCTCAAAAGATTAAAAATACAACCACCCTATGACCCAGCAATTGCACTACCAGGTATTTATCCAAAGGACACAAAAATACTGGCTCATGCACCCTCTTGTTTATAGCAGCATTATCAAAAACAGCCAAATTATGAAAAGAGCCAAAATGTTCACTAACATGAATGGCTAAAGAAGTGGTATATTACTCTGTCATAAAAAAAGAATGAAATTTTGCCATTTGCAACAATGTGGATTTAGAGACTATTATGTTAGTTAGAGTTAGAGTTAGAGACTGTTATGCTAAGCAAGATAAGTCAGTCAGAGAAAGACAAAATACCATTTACTATATTTGGAATTTAAGAGACAAAACAAATGAACATAGAGGGTTTGGGGAAAAAAGAGTGAGGCAAACCTTAAAACAGATATTTAACTATAGAGAACAACTGAGGGTTGCTGGAGGGGAGGTGGGTGGGTTAAATGGGTGGTGGGTATTAAGAAGTATACTTGTGATGAGTATTGGGTCTTGCATATAAATGATGAATCACTGAATTGTACACCTGAAACTAAGTACAGCCTACTTAAGATTTTCTCTCTCCCTCTACCCATCCCCACCCCACCCACCCTACCCTGCTCCCTCTCACAGTGTGCATGCTTTCTCTCTCTCTCTCAAAATTATAAATAAATAAATAGTTTAGATCTTAAGAGGGTAAATTGTTTTCATCTAGAGAAGTTTACAAATATTAACAGTCATACTGCTGTTAAGATAATAAGAGGGAAGAGGACTGGGCTGGAAATGGTTTAGTGGATAAATGAATTGAGATTATGTTTCCAAAGGTTAGACTATATCTATTGCCTATTGAAGTACACACCATAAGTGGTAACTGAGAGAATTACATATCTCAATTAATCATTTTAAAATGTAATGAGCATTCAACTGGCAAAATGAGTTGCAATCAACTTATTTTGCCTAATATTCTAAGGACTTAATTTCCAGCCTATGCTCTTGTGGGAATAATGCCTAGGAACATTATTTATTTCAAAGCAGTCTGACATCAAGCCTTCTTTCCCTTCCAACTGAAAAATCCCCACGGTATTATAAATCAGTTTTACTCAAGAAGCTTGATAATCCTATCACCATATTACACAAATAGTAGTGGAAATTTAAATAATATGCTGTCCCTCATTCACTGGGGGAATTTTTCAGTATTTTAAAATGTATTTTCACTTTATTGTATTTCACTGGTGACTTAATTTCTATCATTATTATTTTACATCTGTTAATTTAACATCATGAATATCATGCCAGTGTTATGCTTTGCAAGGAGGTTAGTTAATTATAATCCATGATTTGGGAGTCATTTACTTTGTTGTACTCTGACTTCATGTAAAAATAACTTTTTTGATATATATGTCTGGTATATGCCAAAGGAATAATAAACCTGCTAATAGTGTTGCAAGGTAACCACGGTTCTTGTCACGAAGAGCCTCTCCTCTTTGATATGTAGCTACTTGCATTATTCTTGAATATGAGTTGTTAATGTAGGTGTTTGACATGGGCTTCTATCAGAATGAAAAAAAAATTACTCTCACATTTGTGTCTGTAATAGCCTTTGAATCCAGATCTATACCGTCTCTCTATTCCTATTATTTTATAATGATGGGAAATGAAACATGTCTTTTTCACTCTGAAGAGAAATTTTCCTTCATTTTGAAAAAGTTATACTGTTCTAGATTTTTTTTCTCCAAAAATGGGTAAAGAGGTGTTCTAGCAACTTAGCTCAAATGGATCATTTATGTTGGTAAACATATGTACCATAAGCTATAAAGGCAGCAGCTTGTAAACCCATTAAATGGGGAAATTCTACTACAGTGTTTGCTAAAACTTCAGTGACAGTAATTCTTTGAGCAGAGCTTTGATGGATGAATTGACATTTCCAGGTAAGGGAGAGGCACAGTATAATGTATTATAGCCATAATGATAATGCCATGTCATCAAGACAACAGTTACCAGGTTTGGCATCTTTTAAGATGAAACTTAATGTTTTGCCAATAATTTCCATGTTAGAATGGAAGGAATCACCTTAGACAGATTTCCATGCTAATCTGTGGCTTCAGTTATTGTAGGAAATAGATATCCACTGCTTTGGGAGAGTGCCTTTTTAAAGACTTAACTCCTTGTTAGATAAAGCTAGAAACAAGGAAAAAGTATGAATCTATTTATACAGTATTCTAGAACTTTCTTAAAAAAAAAAAAGAATTAAAGGCCAAATCATTTCAAAGTGACTCCAACCTCACTGATGGATTCAGATGATTCCAGTTGTGTTATATTAATAGAAAGGACCACTACTGATCCCAAATAAAAACTCACAAAGGGTGGAATCAGGGCTAGTGACTGTGGCTCACACCAAATTAAATATTTGAAGAATGCTAACTCTGGGATAGTTTGTGTCCTATACTAGAAGCTCTAACTCCAGACACACTGGTTTCGTGGTCTTAGTTGGGGCACAGTGGTTGGGCATACAAATCCAAAGAATTCTAATCTTGGGAACCCAAACATGATACACTAATGAGAACTGTGTAGTCATGTACACAATACAGAAGTGATCAAGAACATAAAGAACATATCCTGCTGTGTGTGAATAACATAAGAGTTATAACAAGAAATCAAGGACCCTTCTGGTACAAAAGACTCCTTGATTTCCCCCGCCCCCAGCTCTCGCAACATTTACAACTATGACTGAGGATTCATTAAGGAAGCTCTAAGAATTGACATACTATGGCAAGGTCAAAAAGAACAACAGTTGAGGCACAAATAAACTACTTGTTAATAAATTCATGGAGTATTTGAGTACTGAAGTTTTTTAAAATAGGAAATAAAATACTGTGTATTTATTTAATTAATCAGTATTGAATACTGATGAGAGTGTTTATATTCGGGTTTTTTTTTTTAAAGCAAAAAGATAACTTTTGGAAAAACATATTAACACCCAACAAGATTATATATGTTAAAGTTACCTAAAAAATTAAGTTTTAATTATTTAAGAAACTGGTTATATGTAATATATTTTTCTGCACAATGTCAGATAAACACAGTTTTATAGTATCTCACTAAAATAAAAATCTGAAGCACTACCAGATTTAAACTCCTTTAACAAGGCTCATGTGTCACTTTCAGTAGGAAAGAAATTGGCTCAATTTCCTGATATAGCACTGGTACTTAGTCTAGGTTCAGACCATAATCTCTTCATCTTACACATTTATTTTCATAGTGTTCTTAATATTATCGTCTTCCTATTAGTGCTCTATTAAAAATCAGAAGCTACTGTGTTTGATGTTTCAACCAAATAGTAGATTAGAGAAAGTTGAAAATAACAACCATGTGTTCTAATGCGTAAATAAAAGAGACCATTTTTTTTAAGTAAAAGAAAGGAAGCATCTTTCAGAAAGGATGGCAAATATGGGGCCCCATGCTCTCAGGTGCTCTTCTGGAACAAATGGTAGCTACTCTTAGATGACCACATGATCTTTCCTGATGAGCTTCAGATTTATTTTGAAGTCAAGGTTCCAGGCAGCCACTAGCCACAAATCACAGTTAGAATTATAAATAAAAATCACTGCCTATCCCTAGATTAAGCAGATAATAGTGGCTAAATATGTAGAAAATATTTGACAATATTTTCTATTATAAACATATTATATGTTTCTTGCAGTAGCATCAGAAAACAGAAACTTAAAATTTTATATTAAATAACAGATAATTGAAGCATCCCCATTTAAGAACTGTTAACTATTTTAGCATTAGCTAAACATTCACATTTTTAGAATTCCTTTGTGTATGTAAAATATGTGTCTTATAAAATTGAGACAGTGTGGGAATTCATAATGCCTGGCTAGAGAAGATTTAATAAACGTATGACTCTCTGGATGAGACTAGTTGAAAAGCAAAGAAGGGGTATCCGGAAAACTTGGCTTTCTTTAAAGCTTCTGGGCTGAAAATAGCCATGTCCTTGTTGCTGCTCAATACACTCATCCAGGAAGGAAATGTTTGGGAGAAACATTTATCTTTGGTGGTCACTGACTCCATATACTCCCTGGGTTCGCATGTGTCACAGACACTCACCCCATGTACTCCCTGTCTGCATGCATGACATGAGCACAGCTTGTTCTAATCACACGATACTCCCTATGTCACTGTCCTAATTATTAAGGCTTCTTGCTCATTTTTGTTGTTATTATTCCCGTGTATTGATAACATTCACAATAAAAGTGGAGGCAGAGTTTGGCCTAGGGCCTTTTGCCACTAGATCACCATGGCTTCTCTTTTCTCCTACTCAGGTGTCTAGAGTAATCTTTTCATTTGCCACCTCAGGGTTTGCTGGCCAAATCCAACAGGATAGTTCTTATTGACCTATCATCATCTTCCTTCTTCTGGTTGAAAAAAAAAAAAAAGCAATTTTCCAAATTTTTCTCAACAAATAGTTTTCAAAATCATCATCTGTGATGGTACATACTTATCCACTGCATAGATACAAGATAAGAGAATTATACCTTTCTCTTGCTCTTCTATATTATTTTTTAATTTTTCCCTTAATAAAAATGACAAATTCCTTATAAATAAATGTATATTTCATTTTAGCAAAATTTGGTGGATAAGGTGAGACCAAATATTATGTGTTTGTTAATATGCTCTGGCAAATGTTCTGACAGATGTTTCAGAATGTGGTGAGGTAATGATGCAGACCCACAGAGATTTTTTTTTAAAAAGCAGGAAAAATCTAAGTTGGCAGATAGCACAATGTACACAGATCACACTTGTGACAGCCAGGACCAAAAGCCTCAGAACTAGCTTTCCTTCCCCAGAAAAGCCAATGTGGAAAACACTTCTCCATATCACTTCAAACTCTGGTTTCTCGGTGTGGAGTCCCAGGCACAGCACATAAAATCTATGACTGGGCATCAAACTATGACACCTATAATATATTAGAAATATTCATTCCAGCTTTGCACAGTGGCAGTATCGTAGCCAATGAGGTTTATCCGAGGCGCAATTATTGCTAATAGAAATATTCATTCCTTTCCTTATGAAAAAGTATAAGTTTTCCATGGTATTTATAAGTTTCCCACTTTTTTTCTTTTTTCCTCTTTCTGTCTCTCTGTTCCATTCTCTTTAGTCATTTATAAGAACAAAGAAAGAAGAGTTGAAGAAAATATTGATTTGCTTTGGGCTAGAGACTGGGGAAGACAGATGTGATTTTTAAAAATAGATTATAAAGATCAAAACAGAACACAGTAAGAATGGGAATTGTTCTGGAGATGATTTAATGAGCACTGAACAGACCTTATAAAACCATTGACCAAAATACAACCTTAATTCATGGAATAAACACTTCAAATAGCTTAATTAATCATGGATACAATAAATATCTGAGATGTTAAATGTATTTACATATTTCTGATAATTTGGTAGAGCAGAAGCTCTTTGCCATGAATTATCTGGTATCCTTCCAAAAACACAAAATTGTAAGGTGGAAGAGTTTGTAACTGAGCAACTCTAGGGATATGCATTTCCTTTAGTAAAGGATTTTGTGTTTTTATCTTCATTTGATCAGGACAATGTTTCATGATTTGGAAGTAGATGTTAGTAAATGCCTTATGGAGTTATGGGAACTACTTTTAACCAAAAAGAGTAAGAACTCTAAGAAGCTCCTTAGATGAACCTTAATAAAATGATACTCTTCTGTATTATACCACTCCTCATGAGTGCTGGTTTACAATGTTTTGATTATAAGCCACTGAAGCATATTCATCAACACATAGAAAATACTGCATACTTCCATTAATGATTTGTTTGTGCAATTAAAAGCAAAACAAATTGAACACATTTTTCTCTGGCCTAAATTCAAAGCTGTTTTCAAAATAAGAGTTTCAGATTCAAAATACAATCATATGTTTACAAGTTGATTATAGTTTCATAATGATTTTAAAATGTGGAACAATAACCCAGGGTGGCACAAAGAGAAATCAATTAAGACACAGTAAGAACATATTAGTGATTCTCTTTATTTTTAAAGTCATCTGTAATAGTCTATTCATTCTACTATAACAAAATATCATAAACTGGGTGGTTTAAACAACAGAAATTAATTTCTTACAACTTTGGAGGCCTCAAAACACAAGATCAAGGTACTGGGCAATGTGTTTTCTGGTGAGATGTCTTTTCTTGACATGTAGTCAGCTACGTACTTGCTATATCCTCACATAGTATTACATGACAGAAAGAGAGTATGAAAGAGCAAGCGAGTAATTCCTCTGGAGTCTATTCTTATAAGGGTACTAATCCTATCAGAGTAGGGCCCCTTATGATTTGATTTGACCTCCGTGAATTCCTTAGAGACCTATCTTCAAATATAGTCATATTGGGGCTTAGTTCTTCATTATACGAATTTTAGGGGAACACATTTAGTCCATAACTATCTGTTTTGTATTATCTTTTATGGCATGCTTCATGATGTTTTACTATACTAGCACAATAGTATATTTCTACAACATACACACTCATAAACATATACATACACACAAAAGTGTACACACACATAGGTATGCATGTATGCATGGCATGTCTCATAAAACAAAAACAAAAACAAAACAAAGAGAGGCCTGTCCACAAGCATCAGAGTTTGGAGACTGCTAATCTAGGGTATATTTTAATGCTAGTGGTGAAAAAATTACTACATCTCAAGATAGCATAGTTTATTTTTAGATCTTTCTTTTTGAAGTTTTCTAGTATTTTCAGTTAAAACGTGTCCCCTCAATAATGATCATTCATTGGTTTCACTTCTACTATACATCAAATAAAACAAATCCACCCCTTTTTCATGTCAGAACCAGTTATTTCTATGAAGTTATTAAATTTAATACAATGCATTTAAATATTTATTTATTGAGTCTCTCTTATGCCACCAAATGCTGGGATGTAATCCCCTCCCCTAGGAAGTATATTGATTGTTTTAAAGATATTCATTTATAGGGATTACGTTACTGAAATAAGGTGAGATCAAGGAAGAGGATGTAACTATGTGAGGTGACTGATGTTAACTAAATTTATTATGGTAACCATTTTGAATGTATGCATATTTAAAATACTACATTGTACACTTTAAACCAATACAATATTATGTCAGTTAAATGGATAAATAAATGTCAATAAAATGGGGGAAAAAGACCAAGGAGGTGGCGGGCCAAAACAGTAGCTACACTAAGGAAAAACACCTTATGTGCAGAAAGGGTGGTGATTAACAGAAGCATTCCTGCAAATAAAATTTTGCAAATAAGCCCTTCAAGGGGATGGAGCAGGAAGGACAGCCTTCCAGGGATAGAGTGAAACTGAGGTCCTAAGTGGTCCCAAAATGAAAGAGAATAAGGCAGATTTGGGGAAGTACCAACAATTCCATAAACTTCAAGCACAGCAGGTGGTTAATGTTGGGATCTAAGCTGGAACTAGATTTTTAAAAAAACAAACCAAACCAAACCAGTCTCCATGACAATAATGACAAATGTTGGGATTTTGTATACATGGTAATAAATAACAGTTAAAGGACTTTAAGCCAGGGAATGATATACTTAGTGTTTTAAGAAATTCTCTCTATTTGGATAGTACGAAAATGACTGCATATCCATAGGCCAAAAAGGAGGTGAGAAATTATGCTACCCAAAATACCTACTAAGGCTAGAACTGATTTGACAGTGACATGGCATTACAAGAACTGTCAACCCCATCTCCAGATTTTGTGTGTGTATGTGAGGGTATGTGGGCAAATTTATTTACTTGTAAGATCTTAAGGCAAGGAAGCGAAAGTTTGTCAATAAGGTTGGAGATGTGGAAATATTTACTTACAGGTATTCCAAAGACACAGTGGCAAAATGCCTTGGAGAAATAAAATCAAGATAAAGAAGTCCAGAGTAGTACAAGGATAAAGTATGAGTGAACCCATAAAGAAAACTGATAATTAGGGGGGAACTAAAGTTTTGCAAGATGAACCAAGTTAGAGAGGTATATAAGCAATGTTTGTAAAACCTGGCCTCAAAATCACCACTCCCTTCCTTCCTAGAAGGAGTCAGTGGTGACCTAAAGTGATTATTATTCTGTGATTGTCCTGTCCTAGTTGACCAAACTAATTGTATGTCAAAAACAGCAGCAGTGACACCTGGGTGGCTCAGCTGGTTAAGCGTCCGACTCCTTATCTCAGTTCCAGTCTTTACCTCAAGGTTGTGAGTTTGTCCTGCATTGGGCTCCATGCTGGCCATGGAGCTACTTAAAAACAACAATCAAAAAAACCAAAAAACAAAACATAAAACAGTGCAATGTCACACACTGTCACTGTGTCAGGCCTCTCTGGAAGTAGTCTTCTATGTTCCATGCCAAAAAGCTCCAATTCCTAACTCTTCTTATAATAAATGGTTTTATGTCCCTCATAAACTTGATTAGTCCTCACAGAAGATATTCCAGTTTGCCTATGATGACAGAGCAATTTACAAAATTTAATTTTTAATTTCTGCCATGTTTGTTCCAAAAATGATTTTAAATAGCTGAAATAGGTGATATTATAAAATGTTGGTGGGAAAAAATGAGAAAATAGGACAAAAAGAGTAAATAACAAAATATGAGTCAATAGTGACATTAAGTATATAAAGTATATGTCATAAGGTCTTCAGTATTTACTGAAATGAGGCTACAGATCTGGTTATACTATTGTCTGCAACACACAGTGTGTGCGTGTGTGTGCACTCACACATATGTACACATAAAGTATTCATGTGTTTCTGATCCTGATTTACAAAAAGAGAATACTCAGAGAGTCACAAGGCTCCAATTTTTTTGATTCAGTTAGAGTTATATGGGAATGTTTAAAGGCTTTAATGTCATGGCCTTTCATGATAAATCTATCTTCTGTGATTTCTGTTCACAGAAAGTTTGCTGAAAGGCAACTCAAGTGAACGATATATTAAGGTTGTCAAAGATCACAGCAATCACTCCAAAATCCATTTCTGAGCACCTAAACCTGTGAAGTTTATGGAAATTCAAGGGCCCCCTAGCTCTTGAATGCTCTTTTCTGCAACTAATCATACTAAGCTATATTTTAAAAATGGCACTGCTGACCTCTCACCCTGGCCAAGTCAATTAGATTAATAGTTCTGACATAGCAAATGGAACAGCTAATCTCACAGGTGCTCTGATCTGAAGTATCATTCCTAGCTGACTTCAATCATGGTTACTGGTACTGCTAAACTAAGAAACCACCTTGGACAACTCAGATCATTCAATTAGACTAAATTAGAGCCATAACGAGCTAGAGTAAACAAATAGCAGATGTTGATTAAAAAAATCATAAAGTAGGAGAAGACCAACATTGCTGTGATTTCTCCTCATGATATATCTAGACAGTGAAGACAAAAAGAAATATACAATTTCAAATACCACATAAAAGAAAGCAAATTTGGTTTTGAGTCTATGTCTAAAAGTTTAATACCATAGAATTACTCAATGACTGTAGGTTTTATCCTATATACTATAAAGAAGCTGACTCACCAGGGCACAAAGGTATAAATAGATGCTCCTTTACTCACTTTAATACTTATTTTAAGGAATATGCTTCCTATAGGAATGTACTTGGTATATTCTTCCTAAAAGAAACCACAAGTCATAGGATAAAGGCAATAATGATGTTTCTGATATTTATGGGAAAATAATTTTGAAAAAGAAGCATTTTGCATTTAGATTTTTGGAACAAGCACCAATGTCAGTCATTAGAAAAATTATTTATTTATGTATTTTAAAATTGCAACCTTTACTTCTTTTTCTTTGGACACTTCCCGTCCTAATTCTCCAGTTTTCCCACTTCCTACTTATGCCCTTCAGTTCAGCTTTTATTTTTCTTTCCTTATTGGTAGAAAAGAAGTATGCTAGATTTTTAAATATTTTTCAAATATTAACTCATCTAAAATTTACAGCAACCCTGTGAAGTAAGTCCTACTATTGTCTTCATATTACATATGAGGAAATTACT